CTAAGTGTTTCCATGTGTCTTTGGTTTCCTCTATTATTTATTTATTTATTTATTGCTCTAGGTGAGGAGAGACCAGTTGTTACATCTTAGATGGCCATTTATAAGCTTTTAAGACCCTAGTCTCTACTCACCAAACTAGAATGTGGAACAAATGTTTTTGTGTAGTATATTATGCCAAGTGAGCTTGCTGTCCCCTGCAACCATGGTCCTGAGCACATAGGACCAACAACTCGCTCTCTCAGAGTGGCTGGCTGTGGCTGAGAAGTTATCATAAATTTGTCCCCTCGTAGCTCTATTATGTATATGGACCTTCTTATAGCCACCAGCCACTCCTCAGAAGGAAGATTGGGTAATCTACTTCCATAGAGATACCACCTTGGAAACCCAAGGAGCAGTTGTTATGAGTTGGAACTGACTCGACGGCAGTGAGTTTTTGAGTTTATATTACATACAAATATGTATGTAGAAATATTGTCTGCCAAACTTATATTCACCAAAAAGGGTATATTCTCTTTTTCCTAGACATACCTGATCATTCAACCTGTCTGCCTGTGTATACACCTAGATTAATGTTTGTTATTATTGATAATGCAGTGTTGTGTATGTAAAAGTGGTTACCTTTGTTGTCTATACTTCCTGCGTACCTCTCTGTGTCTTCCTTTTCCTTAGTGTTATTGTGTTGGTCACTTATTTTTAGTATATTGCCTTTCCCTTCGCTGAAATCAATACTTGTCTCTTACCCATCTAGCAATTGTATCTCCTCTCCCCTCTCATCCCTGGTAACCAACAAAGTTTCCTTTCATGCATTAACCTTTCCTTGACTTTTTACAGTAGTGGACTAACACAATATTTGTCCTTCTGTGATTGACTGTCTCACTCAGCATAATGTCTTCCACATTTCATTCGTGTTATAAGATATTTCTCCGATTCTACATTATTCTTCAGTGTTGCATAATATTCCATTGTGTGCATGGAATATTGTTTCCATATCTTAGCTACTGTGAATAGTGGTGCAACAAACATGGGTGTGCATATATGCATTCATGTCTTGGCTCTAACTTTTTTCAGATATATACCTAGTAGTGGGATTGCTAGATCAAATGGTATCTCTATTTTCAATTTTTAAAGGAATTATCATATCATTTCCACAGTGGCTGTATCATTTTGCAGTCCCATTAGCAGAGTATGAGAGTCCCAATCTTTCCACAGCCTTGTCTACGTTTGTTATTTTCCATATTGTTGAACTTTGCTATTGTTGCAGGGGTAAGATGGTATCTCTTTGTTGTTTTGATTTGCATCTCTCTAATGGCTAATGATCATGAACATTTCTTCCTTCCATCTTCTTTTGATGCTTCTTGCATTTTTCCATATGCTGCACAGAGACCTTCAGTATTACAACTTTAGGCTTGACTTTTTTCTTCAGTTCTTTCAGCTTAAGCATATTTTTTCCCTTTTGTTTTTCTACTTCCAGGTCTTTGCACACTTCATTATGTTTTGTCTTCTTGAGCTGCCCTTTGAAATCTTCTGTTAAGCTTTTACTTCATCATTTTTTCTATCACTTTAGCTTCTCTATGCTCAGTAACAAGTTTCAGGGTCTCTTCTGATATCCATCTTGGTCTTTTCTTTCTTTCTTGCCTTTGTAATGATCTTTTGCTTTCTCCATATATAATCCTTGATGTTATCCCACAGCTAGTCTGGTCTTGATCGCTAATGTTTACTGCATCAAATCTGTTCCTGAGATGGTCTCTGAATTCTGGTGGCATACACTCAAGATCGTACTTAGGCTCTGTGGACTTATTTTTAATTTACTTCAGCTTCAGCTTCAGCTTGTTCTTGTATATGAGTAATTGATGTGGCCTTTTCCACATTTAACCCCTGACTGATAATATTGAGCTTTTCCACTGTCTTTTTTCACAAATGTATTCAATTTGATTCCTGTGTATTTCATTCTGCTTGGTCCTCGTATATAGTTACTGTTTTTCCTTGTTGAATAAAGGTATTTGGAATAAATAAGTCAGTGGTCTTGCAAAATTCTTTCATATGATCTGTGGCATCACTTCTATCACCAAAGCCATATTTTCCTTTCTTTCCAACTTTTGTATTCCAATTATCAGTAATTATCAACGCATCTTGATTATATGCTTGATCAATTTCAAACTGCAGAAGTCAGTAAAAAAAAAAATCTTCATCTTTTGCATTATTGGTTGCTTAAACCAAATTAATCAAGCATTTTTTATTCGCCGAGAGAGAATGATGTACTAGAAGCAGCATGTACAGAGTTGGCTAGCTGTCACTTACTGTTTGACCTAGGATGAATGGGCCTAAACAGTGTGAGGTTTTCATTTTCATGTCTTAAAACTGTGGCTGCTATTACCACCTGCACAGAGTTGATAAAGATTAAATAAGGCACTTTATGTTCAACTGCTTATCAAAGTGCCTAACACATGGTCAACTTTTTGAAAGTGTTAGTTACTCTTATCTTTCTATATATTTGCTCTTTGCTTTGACTTCAGCCTTTGGTAGCTACTGTTTGCTTTGCTTATGAAAGCCCAGGTTTTATTATTATAGCTCAGGTTTTGAAGCCCATGCAGTCAGTGATGGTATTAATTCTTGTGTTTATAGTGATTTACTTTGAAATCACTGGTGCAAATTAAAAATACTTTCTTTTCCTCTACTGTCTGACATAACAGATGCAGATAACAATTAATTCCTAGTAAATAAGCTTTTATTTTCACATTCTTTCTTTTGATACACTCACCTCTATCCACATTTTCTCTAAAGCATCTTTAACTGCTGCTACAATTCTGGTTTTAATATCATGGTACTAGTTTGATAGACACACATGAACACTGCCCTCGAGTTGTACCTGACTCACAATGACCCCTCCTTGGGTTTCCGAGGCGGTATCACTACGGAAGTAGATTGCCCAACCTAGATGGACAATATTAAATATTTTTTTTCAACAAATTTTCAGCAGCAAAAGGCTCTATGCTAGATTTTAAGACACATGAGGTAAATATTGTAAGGGTAGAGACTTTTGTCTTGTTCACCTTTGAGGAACACGATTTATTGTTTGACATGATATCTGGCATATAGTAAATATTTAATAAATGATCAAATAAATAAATAGCAATCTCACTGCTGTTTTACATTGGAAATAAAGCTGGCTTCCTTGAAATTAAGAAAATTTCTATTATTTTGAGTTGCATTTCCTTTCCTTTGGTAAAGATAGTGAATAGTATGGTAGTTCTCTTTGTAGAATATATATGAGAAAACTAAGTCCTAGAAATGATCTAAAACTGTGCTATCTTATATAGTAGGCACTAGCTACATGTAGCTATTTAATTTTAATGTAATTAAAATGACATAAAATGAAATTTTCATTTCTTCAGTCATATTAGCAGCCACATTTCAAATGCTCACAGCCACATGTAGCTAGTGGTTATTTTATTGGACAGCATAAACAGAGAATATTTCTGTTATCACAGAAATTTCTCTTGGACAGCACTGTTCAGTATTCTAGAACAATGGTTCTTAACCTTCTCTGTATCTCCAAATGCTTTGAATACCTGGGCTTTGCTCTCCATAGATTCTCTTTCAGTTGATCTTAGTTGGAAGGCAGGCATCCTATGTTGAAAATTTCCCCAGGTTATTCTAATGTGCAGCCAAGTTTGAGAATTAATGATTGAGAAGAAAATAATTGATTCAAATTGGGACTTGCTGAAAAGGAAGAGGACTAGCTATTCTTGTGCAGAAATTATGGAGCTTTTATATTTATTACTAATGAAAGTTTGATTCATAAAAGTACTCGGTTATTTGAATAGATGACCTTAGTAATTTTTAATTCTTTGTGTCTTCAGGTTTTAAAATATAAGCATATTAGTAAAGTGGCAGTTTATTTTTTTTATTATTATGTTTGATTTATTCTCTGGGCCTAATTTCTTTATGCAGAACTATTTATATATTCCTACCCCTCCCAGTTTTCATTTTTTATTTCTCTGCCAGTGATTAAAATTTACCTCATTCCATTTAATAGAGCTAAAACTCTGATTTATGGTGGACTTTCCTGTCTTCTCTCAAGAATGAACAAATCATCCCCAATAGATCTATCTTATTCGTAAGCTTTATAAGAAAAACTTTGAAAATATAAATGAGAGCAATATTATTTACTTTTTAACATCTTTACTACCTCTGTAAGGAGCTCTGGTACTGCCTCGGGAACCCAAGGAGGGGTCGCTGTGAGTCGGGGCTGACTCGACGGCAAACAACAACAACAACAACAAGGAGTTCTGGTGGCGTAGTGCCTAAGACATTTGACTGCTAATCAGAAGATTGGTGGTTCAAACCCACCAGCCACTTCACAAAAGGAAGACTGGGCAATCTGCTTCTGTAAAGATTTTACTGCCTCAGAAACCCAAAGGTGGTCGCTCTGAGTTGGAATCTACATGACGGCAGTGAGTTTGACCACCTCTATTAGATGTGGTGTAGTGCTTAAGGCATTTGACTATTAACCAGAAGGCTGATGGTTCAGACCTACCAGCCACTCCTCAGAAGGTTGGGCAATCTACTTCCATAGTTATACCACCTTGGAAACCCAAGAAGGGGTTGCTATGAGTTGGATCCGACTCTGTGGCAGTGAGTTTATCAGAAGTTATACATTAGATTTGGTCCCTTTTCCGCTTAGTGTATGGCATCTTCATTTTCGTTGCTAACTCCTTCCCAACAATTTTTCCTGTGTAAGTTTAATGTAGATTTTTTTCCAGAAATTTCAACCCTCTTGTTCTTATAGATAAGGATTGAAACCAGTGGCTTATCTGCTCTAACATAGCTATTGTGACAGCATTAGGATGAGATGGTGAACGTTGAATGCTGTTATATCATGAGAGAATTAAGTACATAGTTTCTAGTCTGCTGCTCTAATACAACATTAAGTATTATTTCTGTTTTATCCTATTTTATAAGCCTTCTCTGATAATTTGATTATGTTGTGTGCTTTTTAGTTTTGGAATTTATGTGGAAATGCTCTGACCCCAAAACGAGGTGTGTTTGGTAAGACCGGTGACCTTCAGACAATATTGTGCCTAGCCTGTGCCAGGGATGAATTAACATATTCTGGTGCACTCAATGGTGATATATATGTTTGGAAAGGAATCAATCTTACACGAACAATACAAGGAGCCCATACTGTAAGTATATTGAAGTATTTTAACTACTTCTTAAAATAACAGATTGTATAATAAAACACACTGTTTTTAATCAGCTCAGTTGCTTGAAAAATGGCATTTGAACTGAATTAATTTGCCTATTTGTTTTGAAGATTTTAATCTGTGTACATTTAGACAAACAGATATAAATTAAATTAGTGTAATCGTATTTTGCTAAAACCATTGCTTTAACATGGTATTGTTCTCAGAGTACTGCGGAAAACAACTTGTTGAATTAACCTAAAAGTATTAGAGATCAATTTCAGTAAAAAAAAAAAAAAAAAAAAGAGCTAGTGCCTCTTGAGTCTAATTTATCAGTGGAAAATTTTGAGGCAGTCCCAGAAAAAGTATAACTTTCTTTTTAATAACATTGATTCACTCAATGAGTGGCTAAGAGATTTAATTTTTGTACTTCAGGAGACTTTCATAGAAGTTATCAAGTAAAACACCTTTTAGGGCTTCTTCTTCTTCCTGCTTTTTGGCAATTGGGGCCTTCCTACAGTGAAGAGCGGTAGCTGGCATAGAGATGCTGCATTGTAGCAGCAAGATCTTCAGGTTGCAGAGTCGCAAGGCCTCAACTGCAGCAGGTTTGGCTCTGACTGGGTGACAGGTGAAGTTTCTATGTACATAGGGGCGTATTTAGAGATTTTCTTTGGTGTTTTCTGATGTATTTGTTTGTTCTTATATAAAAATCTTTTTAAATGAAATTTCAACTTTGTGTACTAGATTTTCTTAAAAAGCTTATGTTGTTAAATTAATATTTTATTTCCTCTCTTAGGCAGGAATTTTTAGCATGAATGCTTGTGAAGAAGGCTTTGCTACTGGTGGCAGAGATGGCTGTATTCGTCTTTGGGATTTAACTTTTAAGCCAATTACTGTGATTGATCTCAGGGAAACAGACCAGGGATACAAAGGTAATGACAAAGGAAATGTGTATGACTTAGCAAAGTCTAAATGGGCTAAGGAACATCTGTTTTTCAGTAAGCATAAATGTACGTTTTATAAATATAAGTTAGACTTACATTTGCTCTTTATACTGTGTGTATTTAATTGAAATTCTTCTATTAAAGAGGAGAAATTTTGCCTAAATTGAGTCTAGTTTTACTGTTTTATGGCATATACTTCCATATGCCCAATGCCTATTATAATGAGACCTATGGCGAGATATAATAGGTACATACTTTGATAGTGTTGAATTTTGAAAATATTTTTTATCAGAATTCTAAATGTAATTATTTAACAAATAACTCCATTATGTAGAGTAGATTCTGACTTAGAGCGACCTGGTAAGATAGTGTAAAACTGCCACATAGAGTTTCCAAGGCTTTAATCTTTATGGAAACAGACTGCCCCAGCTTTCTTCCATGGAGGGACGGGACGGTTGAACTGTCGATCTTTCAGTATGGAGCTCTTAACCACTGCAGCACCAGGACTCTTTACTTAGCAAATAAGCTATTGTAAATAAAATGTGTTGAGGCTTGGGTGAACTTTTGTTCATAGTGATTTAAATGAGTGAGATGTGTTTTTCCTTCACCCAAATTTGACAGCAATGGGGAATTTTTCTTTTTTTGCTTTTAGAGTTTTTTTTTTTTTTTTTAAATCAATGTAATAAGGCAGGATCTTTTACTGTAGAAATGAATAAGTTATTTGCTAGTGTGGCCTTGTATTGTAAGAGTAGCACTTGAAGTTACACTTACTTGTGTTTAAACCATATTCCAGTCACCTACCAGGTGTATGACCATGGCCTGGTTATTTAACCTTATCTGTAAAATGGGCATAATAATTCCTATCTCATAAGACTAAATGAGTTTTAATATATAGTAAAATGTTTAGAAAGTGGCACATTGTAAGTGTCCAGTAAGTGTTAACCAGTATTCTATTTTCATTAGTTTTATGGAACATCATTATACTCTAAAGTTTGCAAAATAATTTGAAACTTTTTCTTATTTGATTTTTATAGCATTGTGAGGTAGTTGGTTCTTTTATTATTACGCACATGAGAAAACTGTGAAAAACAAGCTTTTCCGAGTTTACCAAAGGGATTTTCTGGTGTACAGAACAAATAAAAGGCTCTCTTCTCAATTTTTTTTTAGTAGACTGGAGAAATGAAATACATACAAGTGAAAAGTCAGTTATTACAAGAGAAAAATAATTCAGTATACTTCTGTAAAGGTAGTTCCTGGACCATTACTCAGTGACTGATACAGACGGTCATAAGACTTTGGCTGAAGAAGTGGTTGGTTAGACTGTGGCTGACGTTGTTTAATAGGGAAGAAGGGAGAGGAGTGTATGCCTTGAAGGATGAGTAGAAATTAGGTATGTAAAAAGAGAAGTAGCATTCTACACAGGAAACCACACAGACTGCTGAAAATGTGAGTGTGGAAAAGGACTCTTTCTAATATCACAGGTGTAAGAGGTCTGGTAATGAATATCTGTGTAGACAGACTGGTATTATGTTATAACAGCACTGATGCTAAATGCCATTCACTTTTGACTAGGTTTGTCTGTGAGGAGTGTTTGTTGGCGAGGTGACCACATTCTGGTTGGAACACAGGACAGTGAAATTTTTGAAATTGTGGTACATGAAAGAAATAAACCTTTCCTAATTATGCAAGGACACTGTGAAGGTGAACTTTGGGCACTTGCTATCCATCCTACTAAACCTTTAGCTGTGACTGGAAGTGATGATCGTTCGGTCAGGTAAGCAAGTTATAAAGTAATTGTGTAGGCTGGAGTTTATCCTTAGATAAACACAAGGAGAAAGAAATACTTAGATTAAAAAAAAAATATTTACATCGAGATTTTTCAGTTTATGGTGCCACAGACCTTTCTTCTGAGACTCCTCTGATTAGATTTGAACCACTAACCTTTTGATTAGTAGCCCAGTGCTTAACCATTTGCACCACCCAAGGACTCCTAGAGCTATAGATTAAGCTAAGAAAAAAATGTCCACTGCAAATTTGGGTGGAAAAGTAGATCTTGTTGTTAATTGTTATTCAAACAACATTAGTTGTCTGAGTGACTTTAACACAGAATAAATTCCACATACAAGTGCATTTGCCTTGTAATTTTAGGTTGAATTCGTTAAGAAACACTATCAAGTCTGCAGCAAAAGCTAATTTACTGAGCCTTCCCATGAAGTTTGATAATAGTGGTTGAGGGTGGGTCTTCTCATTTGGAATAATTTCAGTCTCCGCTCTGCACTCAAAAGATCACAATAAAACTTTACCACTGCTAAGCCATTAAACTGCTTTGTGGTAAGGCAAGTGAAGATTTTTAGTTTCTATTTCTGACAGAAATTTATGGAACTGACAGGACAAATGAAGTTCACCATCAACAATACTGGTTCAATAACAAAGGACAGATTTAAAGAATAATATGATGAATAACCATAGACTTTAATCACCTTATATTTTCACCAGCTTTGTAAATTTCATCTGACGAAGCCATTTTTTGTTGCTCCCATATATATTTTACCACCATAGCACATCTTGGCAGATTGCACTTTAGGTTTTATTGAATTAGTATTTTCTCAATGTCTTTGAATATATTCTCACCTATAATTATTCATGGAAGCTAATTTTTCAGTCTCTTTGAATGTGGCATTGCCTCCTCAAATAAACAATAACTGAGTAGCATTGCTAACATCTGTTTCTGTTGATTCATCAAGATCCAAGGAGAGCCACTCAAAATTATTTGCCTTGCTTTTTAATGAACTGTTGGTGTTGCTCCCAAAGTCCTGAAATTGTTTGAGCAACTGTTTCCCAAGAAAGGCTAGTAATCTGAAACAAGTTTATTTTCTGTGGACATATTTCTTCAACTGCTGTAATCTAAGACAATGTAATTAACTAAGCATCAGTGGACACCTTTCCTTGCTTGGTTAACAAATGAACCACTCAGAAATTTACTTTGGTTGCAGCCTCACTTTCATTTTTCTGAAGAAATTCTAATGTGATGAGATGTACTGTTTTAAATTTTCTATTTTGTTTTCTGATCATTGTTTTCCTTTGTGTTGGAAGTATTGTGATTCATGCTTAGCCTGGCAACATCAACGTATATTTTTATTCCTTTGTCACAGTTATAGTGTCACTGCGTGATAAACACAGTGCTTTCCCATCTGACTCAATGATACTGTGCCTTCAAAGTACATCATTTGAAGTCCACTTTCCTCTCTCTTTTTCCCTTGTTTTGACATGATTTATGAACAATGATGATAAATAATAAAAGGTTGCCATATAATGATATACAAGGCATTCAAAACTCGGTCATTTTATTACTGATCACTCCAATTTGTTGTGAGCTGAGCAGCAGTGCCAAGTGATCTGTCTCACATACTACTTCTTTGGCAACTACTCAGCTCTGCCTCTGGAATCAGCCATTTGTTGCTGTTTTAGCTGCTACTGCGTCAGCTGCAACTCATGACAATCCTGTGTGTGCAGAGTAGAACTGTGCTTCATAGCATTCTTGGCCTATCTGCCTTGGAACTGCTTGGTCAGTTTGAAAGGCCAGCCTTTAGGTTAGCAGCCAGGCACGAACAGCTTGTGCCGTCCAAGCTCCTGAAGCTGGCCATAGACAGTCTATAAACAATAAGTGTGGTTGTCTTCCAGTAAAACTTTATTTATGGACACTGAAATGTGAATTCCATACAATTTTAGTGTGTTGAAACTTTATTCCTCTTTTGATTTGTTTTTCAACCATTTAAAAAATGTAAATACCATTCTTAGCTCTCAGACTGTACAAAAAACCGGTGGTGGACTAGGTTTGATCCAAGACTGTAGTTTGCTGACCCCTGTGGTAGAGGTAGAAAGTTGAAATATCATGCATTAAAAGCTTTCATTTGAGATTAGGAAGAAGGAAACAATGCCTGCTTTTACCATTCTCTTGGGTCGTTGTCAACACAGAAAGACCAAAAAAGTATGTGTGTATGTTTTTATGAAAGGAAGAAACAGCTGTCATTTGCAAGTGGTATGATTATACATGTAGAATATCCAAGGGAAAATACAGATAAAGTATTGGAATTAAAAGGAGAATGTAGCAAATTTTCTGGATATAAAATATATATAAAAAATAAACATTTTTTCCAATAAGCCAGCAACAAACAGGAAAGACAAAACTTTAAAAGATATATTATAATAGCTTTTTAAAAATCTGCTTTGTTAGTTTTTCTGATCTTTTTTCTCATAGATGCCTATTCATTACATCGTAGCCGTTCTTTTATAATATATGCCTTTAAGGCTCCTAAAAGTTCCCTGTAAGTGCTATTTCAGCTATAATCCCACAAGTTATTTTAATGGATTTTATTTTTTTTTTAGAGCAGTTTTATATTTACAGAAAAATTTCTTCTCTAGCTCAGTGGAAGTGCAGAACCGAAAGGAAGCCCACTGCCCTGGAGTGGATTCTAACTCACAGTGAAAATGCCAAGAGTTCCTGTCTGTCCCTCTCCCCTGCACGCAGTTTCTCCCAGTACTCACACTTGGCATTAGTGTGGTATATTTGTTACAATTAATGAGCCAATGTTGACACATTATTATTAACTGAAGTCCATAGTTTACCTTAGGGTTCACACTTTGTTTTAGACATAATGTCACGTCATTACAGTATCCTGCAGAATACTTTCACTGTTCTTAAAGTGCCCTGTGTTGCACCTAGTAATCCCTTGCCCCTTCCCCATGAACTTCTGGCAACTACTGTCTATAGTTTTGCCTTTTCCATAATGCCGTATAGTTGAAGATCATATAAAGCTTTTTCAGACTGGTTCCTGTCACTTAGCAATTTAAGGTTCCTTTAAGTCTTTTTGTATAGCCCATTTGTTTTTATTACAGAATAATATTCCATTGTACGGCTGTACCACAGTTTGTTTATCCATTCACCTACTGAAAGACATCTTAATTGCTTCTAGTCTTTGGCACTTAAGAGTAAAGCTGCCATAAACGTTTGTGTGCAGGTTTTTGAGTGGGCATAAGTTTTCAAATCTTTTGGGTAAATATCTAGCAGCATGATTATTAGAGGTTTCGCTTTGTAAGAAACTCCCAGATTGTCTCCCAAAGTGGCTATACCATTTTGCATACTCACCAGCAATGACTGAGAGTTCCTGTAGCTCCACAACCTAACCAGCATGTGCCGTTTGTTGTCTGTGTTTTAGATTTTAGCCATTCTAATATGTGTATTGAGTCCACTGCAGGCATCCAGGTAAGAGAGGGAATGCAGGCATGCCCAAAGCAGCAGGGCGGGAGAGCAGGAGAAAGGGGATAAAAAGGCCAGGAACCTGGACAGAGGAGCAGTCAGCCACAGGGATCCAGGTGAGGAAAGGAACTCAGGCACTCCCAAAGCAGCAGTGAGGGAGAGCAGGAAAAAGGGGATAAAAAGCCAGGAACCCTGACAGAGGAGCAGTCAGCCAAAGGGATCCAGGTGAGGAGAGGAACTCAGGCATGCCCAAAGCAGCAGTGCGGGAGAGCAGGAAAAAGGGGATTAAAAGCCAGGAACCCGGACAGAGGAGCAGTCAGCTGCAGGGGTCCAGGTGAGGAGAGGGAAATCAGGCACGCCCAAAGCAGCAGGGCAGAAGAGTGGGAGAAAGGGGATTAAAAGGCCCAGGAACCAGGACAGAGGAGGAGTCAGCCGCAGGGACCCAGGTAAGGGTGGTAGGAGAGGTTTCCAACAGGGAGACAAACTTGTCTGTTGGTTTGTCCTACCATGGTGACAATTTGATGTGAGTTTTGAGGCTGAGCCACTGGTGTTTCAAACCCAGTCGGATGCTCCTGGTGCACAGGTATCAGCCCAGCTTACAAACTGAGATAGACTAGGAAGAAGGAGGAGGCCGTCCACTTCTCAAAGAATTGGCCAGGGAAAACCTTATGAATAGCAAAGAAACACTGTTTGATACATTACTGC